AAATATTCTTCAAAAATCCACACCAGGTTGCAGAGGATTGTTTACAAAATATCCTTAAAAAATCCAAGGAATAAAAAATCCACGCCTAGGGTTGAGGATTATTTGACTTTAAAACATCAAATTATTTAAAAAAAATATTCTTAAAAAATTAGGCTGAGATTTATTTTAAAAATATTCTAAAGTGGTGCAGATATTATTAAAAACCCGTTTCTAGGGTACTGCGGGTTATTTAAAATCCAAACTGCCAAGCCTAGTGTGCTGCAGTGCTCCGCTTCTTAATATCCCATGTTCCACAGTGAAACATCCCGTCATCCTTTTTACGAAAAAATTTGACACATTTGACACAACTTCTTGCGAATAGTTTCCGAATAGGAAACCATTAAGAATAAAATATTTTCCAACCGAACATTACTTAGCGACAAAGACAATTTCCTTAAAAAGCCATTAAGTCACACCAAAACCAAAAAAGAAAGAACAAAAAAAACAACAACCAAAACTGGCCATGAAATCGTAGGTTAGTGGCAAAAAATAAAACAAATTTACCCCATCATAATTTTAACCCTCCACTTGTGATATATTTTTTTTTACTAAATGACCTACAATATTAATAATATATGGGTGTGTGTGTCTTCTATTTCAAACACGCCTGTTTTTTTCTGTAATTCTTAACAAGAATTTAATGGTCATTACTTTTAGTTGGCGATTGCTCAGTTAAAATCTGGTAATTTCAATTTTGAGTACCCAAAAACAAAACAAAAAAACAGAAAAAATATTGTTTGCTTTACTAAGTGAAGCGGTTCCCCCCATCACATCAAACCCCGCACTCTATCGACCACACATTTGCCAACAAGTGCAGCTATAGTGGAGAGGAGTAAAGTGAGTGTGTGAGTTGCCGCCGTCGTCGTAATACAAGTGATATGATTCCAACGACTACGACAATGGAGCCATAAAGAAGCATTGTCGTCGTCGTAGTCGCTCAGCTTGTCGGCATCGTTTACTACCACTTGTCCAGACAACTTTGGCTCGGCGGCTGCTTCACAATCAACCAGCCAACCAACCAACCGACCAAACGGAAAAAATAGTACAAAGAAGAAGCAGAAGAAACAAATACGAAAAACTTAATAACTCACAATAACGAATCTAAAACTTACTTAAGGGGACCCCCCCCCCATTCTCGGGGTCAAACATTTTGTTGATATAATTCGAATCTACTCTAATTAAAGAATGTGCAAAGTTACAAACCTTAATAAGCATTGGTATTGATTTACCAGCCCATTGAAAATCTTGAAAAATTAAAATCGAGAATGGGTGGGGTTCCCTTAAGAACGAACCCACCAACAAATAGCTAGAACAAGAAAAAACCTGCAACACCAACAACTACAACAAAGTATCAATAAAACAGCAACAATGGGCAACATTATTTAACAACAAAAAAAGTGTGGTCTGTCGGCGGTCGTCGGCGCCTATATGCTTGGCGCCACTTTACGCGATGGATACACTCACTCCCTCAACACCGTGCCATAAAATACTCACACAGCAATTGTGTGAGAGATTTTGAATAGGTGTTTGTGTGAGCGCCAACGTCAGAGAGTTGGCTTTTGCAAGTGTGTGCGTGTGTATCTGTGTGTGCATTCGTGCCATCGTTATAACTTGTGCCTTCGAACCCAACAAGTTTAGAACGCGTTCAATGCGTCTGTCGTTAGCATTAGCCGATTATCATAACATGCACCAGACTCGAATGCAAACACACACATACTCACACAGATATATATTCATATAAAAATTACAAAGCAAGAAAAATATTCGCAAAACGCACATTACAGAGTTGCCATATTTTAATGTATTTTTTGATGGAAAAACAATGGGAAATGGGCCATAATTGGAAATTGCAGAAAGATGTTAAGATAAAGAAAATGTTAGGTTATTTTCTGGAATGTTTGGAAAGGCTATTTTATTTAAAACATATTCTTTAAAAAATCCTTGTGTAGGGTGCTGAGGGTTATTAAAGAAAATATTCTTTAAAAAAATCTACGCCTGGTGAGCTGAGGGTTATTAAAGAAAATATTCTTTAAAAAAATCTACGCCTGGTGAGCTGAGGGTTATTTTAAAAATATTCTTTAAAAAATCCACGCCTGGTGAGCTGAGGGTTATTAAAAAATATTCTTTAAAAAATCCACGACTGGTGAGCTGAGGATTATTTTAAAAATATTCTTTAAGAATTCCACGCCTAGGTTGCTGCGGATTATATAAAAAAAATTTAAATCCACGCCTAGGGTGCTGAGGATAATTTAAAAAAAATATTCTTTAAGAAAACCACGCCTAGGATGCTGAGGATTATTTAAAAAAATCCACGCCTGGTGAGCTGTTATCCCAACTTAATATAAATCAAATGGTTTGGTATAAAAAATACAAAAATATGGCAACGATTTATAGTGAAAAAAAAGATAGAGGGAGAGAACTTTTGTAACATTTTGCGTGTTCAATATTCATTACATAGAAACCAAACCTGCGAATGATGATGAGTACAAACTCAGAATATTTATGGATCGTTTACATGCTAGATTTACGTCTGGAAATAGGTGAAAACTTCATATGAGAAGTTGGCAGGATGGTATTAAATTCCTATGGATGGCATACGAAAATTTCCAAATATAAGCGATATATAAATAAGGGCCAGAACTTTGAGATGTCGTCGTTTTAATCGGAAGGAAATTAAAAACAAAATGTGATAATGTACTAGAAACTAATTCCAACGACCGAGCCGAACTTGCCGAAAATCGGGAATATTCTAAGAGTGTTATACCTTTGTATGTCAGGAGTTTATTTTATACAAATTAGAGATCTTTTTATGGTAGCTAAATGCCACTAAATGTCCCGAAATGCCACTTCATTGAGTCCAGGATCTACGGATATCTATAATTTTTGGTAGGAAGATTTGCCGCATAATTTTCCGCGAAAACGTTTTTACCCACCAAACAACCGGGATACCAAAATACACCAACTCAAGTTGTAAAAAGAGGCAAAAACCTATGAGCTATACCAAAATATGAACCTATATTGAAAATTTTTCAAAAAAAAAGAAGGATGCCTAAATACTGCCACTTATGTTGAAAAATGCACCCAGAACCATCCTAAGATACCTAATAAGGATCAGTAGCTGTATATGGAGGTTTTTTCAAATCACGGGCCTATATTGAATATTTTCACCGAATAATTTTTTAACTACCAAAAACCCGGAATGCCATTATTGCCACGATGGTTGGAATCTGCACCTTGGACCAGCAAAATACCTAAAATAGTGCGGGATCTTTACATAGCGACTATTTCAGAAGAAATATTTATCTGACTAAGAACTTTGAAATAATTTGTATATTTCCACAGCACTATCATAATTATTGAGGGCGACGGAATGCAGGGGACAGGCCCTAAATCGATCGGTATCGGGTTCGAATCCCAGCGAAGGATGGAAAAATCAGTCAATGTGAATTTTGAATATTTGTAACAATATGAATTGTATCGGAAGTCCCCTAATATTCGAATAACCAACTTCGGCATCAATATGTCGTTGTTTCTATGCAACGATAGATGGCAGCACCTTCACATAGGATGGGCCACAACAGACCAAAATCATGTAATTAGCTGGAAGACAAAATAAGAATGGCAGGAGATAGTGCCACCCATGAAAATGTAAAAGCATAGAGGGTTTTTTTTTAAATCCAGACATAGGGACATAGGGTGTTACATTAAAAATATAATATAAAATATCATATTCTTAAAAAATCCACGCCTATTAAGCTGAGGATTTTATGAAAAATATTCTTAAAAAATCCACGCCTATTTTGCTGAGGATTTTATGAAAAATATTCTTAAAAAAACCACGCCTATTTTGCTGAGGATTTTATGAAAAATGTTCTTAAAAAATCCACGCCTATTTTGCTGAGGATTTTATGAAAAATATTCTTAAAAAAACCACGCCTATTTTGCTGAGGATTTTATGAAAAATGTTCTTAAAAAATCCACGCCTATTTTGCTGAGGATTTTATGAAAAATGTTCTTTAAAAAATCCACGCCTATTTTGCTGAGGATTTTATGAAAAATGTTCTTAAAAAATCCACGCCTATTTTGCTGAGGATTTTATGAAAAATGTTCTTAAAAAATCCACGCCTATTTTGCTGAGGATTTTATGAAAAATGTTCTTAAAAAATCCACGCCTATTTTGCTGAGGATTTTATGAAAAATGTTCTTAAAAAATCCACGCCTTAAAGGTCTTGGAAAAAATTGTTCTTAAAAAATCCACGCCTATTTTGCTGAGGATTTTATGAAAAATGTTCTTAAAAAATCCACGCCTATTTTGCTGAGGATTTTATGAACCATATTTTTAAAAAATCCACGCCTTTTTTGTTGAGGATTTTATGAAAAATATTCCTAAAAAATCCACGCCTATTTTGTTGAGGATTTTATGAAAAATATTCTTTAAAAATCCACGCCTATAAAGCTGATGATTGTACGAAAACTATTCTTCAAAATCCACGCCGCAGAAGCTGATGGTTCTTTGATTAAATATTCTTAAAATTTAATTACTTTAATATTTCAAACCAAAAAGGAGCTGTGGATTATTTCAAAAATATTCCTTAAACAAATTCTGCATTTCTATGATTCATTTTTGCTCTGCACCCTAGGCGTCAAATGTTTTCTTCCACCTATGTAGATACTACAACATACATATGTACATACGTATATTTATTCAAAAAATAAAAATATTTGAATTGATTTGTTTATTTTTTTAATTTATTTCTATCGTCGCTGTTGTTGTTTTTCTTGCTGATTTCGAAAATGCATTAGGCAAACGCCAACAGCAAATTTTTTAGCACCAAAAGGCTAACTATTTCAAATACTTGAAATGCGTCTAGTTTTTTTTTTATGTGCTGTGCTGTGTGAAATTTTGGCGACGCTATGCCATTAAAAACAAAACCCCACACTCACACAACTGCGAATTAGATAAACAACAATATTAGTAGTAGTGTTGTTGTTGTTATTATTTTCTTGAATTCGAACGCCGCCAAGCGCATCAAACCACGCGAACTTAATGGCAGCATACGCGTATATTTTTTTCCTGGCGCCACTTGCTAAATTTACGCAAATCGCTTGTAAAGAATTTAGACGCCTGTTGTCATTGAGTTGGCTCAATACGTCGGGGGGTTTTCGTATGCTCTTTTCTTGTGCGGGCTCTCACTACTCTCTCTCTCTCTCTGTCTGGGTCTTTGAGGTTTCTTGCAGTTACTCACATTTGTTGGCAAATCGACTTAAATTGAATGATATGATGAAATTTGTTGAGGGTTTGGAGGGGGGTTTTTATGTGGGGCAGAACAAATTGCGGAATTTTGCAATTTATTTCTCCTGGTTATCGGTGTTTTTTTTTCATTTGTGAAACATTGTTGCAAAAATTTATTGTTTTGTATTGCATTTTGTCTTGATTAAAAATTGTTGGAAGTCAATAAATTATTTTGAATTGCATGTTTCGGGACCTTAGCCATGATAGAAGAAAAATTCTGGCTTAGGGAACTTAAGATTCACGCTTAGTACTCTAACTGTTCTATGAAAATTATTCATAAAAGCTCATGCGTAGAATTCTAACTGTTCTATGAAAATTTTTCATAAAAACGATATTAGTTCTCACAGTTTTATGCACAAAAATTCTCAAAAATTCTTACTTGGGAAACTGAAAAATAGTTGTAAAATGTCAGCTTAGAGTTCTGACTATCTATGAAAATTAGTTTTGAAGTATCTGTGTTTATGCTCGTTTTATGAAAAATATTCATATTCATTTATGAAAAAATTTCTAGGTTTTATGATATTTTTTCTTACATCATACAAAAATCTTAAAATCCTAAATAATCCAGGACTGAATAGCTGAGAGTTTTATGAAAAATGCTCTTAAAAAATCCACTCCTGAGGAGATGAGGTTTTTATGAAAACTATTGTAAAAAATTCACACATGAGGGTTTTATGAAAAATATTCTTAACAAGTCCACGCCAGGGGGCTGAGGTATTTATGAAAAACATTCTTAAAATATCCACGTCGGACATGCTGAGAGTTTTATGAGGTTTTTATAAAAAAAAAATTACTTAGGAAACAAGCACGGTTTCTATGAAAAATATTCTTAAAAATCGTCGCCTGAGGTGCTGAGGATTTTATGAAAAATATTCTTAAAAAGTTCAGGCTTGAGGAGCTAACTGTTTTATGAAAACTATTCTTAAAAAAAATCCACGCTTAAGGAGCTGAGGGTTCTATGGATATTATTCTTAAAACCCATGTCTGAGAAGCTGAGGGTTCTATGGAAATTATACTATAAAAATACTCTCTTAGAGATCGTAATGTTTTATGAAAAATATTCCTAAAAAATCCAAGAGGAATGTTCTATGGTTGTATAAAAATATTCCTAAAGCCCAAGAGATGAAGATTCTATGAAATCATTAGAAGGTGAAAAATATCATTAAAAAGTTGAGGTCTGAGGAGCTAAGGGTTCTATGAAAACTATTCTTAAAAAATCCACGCTTGAGGAGCTGAGGGTTCTATGGAAATTATTTCTAAAACCCATGCCTGAAAAGCTGAGGGTTCTATGAAAATATTCTTAAAAAAACACATGCCTGAGATGCTGATGGTTCTATGAGAAATATTCTACATAACTCTACCCTTGGTGGTTCTAAAATTAAAAATACTCTCTTAATGATCTTAATGTTCTATGAAAAATATTCCTAAAAAATCCACATTCCTAAAATGTCCACGTCAAGAGAGCTAAAGATTCTATGAAACTTACTTACTTAGCTGGCTTATGACAGAAGGGTTGTTCCATAAACCGAGCTTAAAAAAGATTTCCAGGCGCGTCGGTCTTGTGCGCATATCATTGAATTTGAAAGACCATTTTGCGAGATGTCCTCTTCTTGATCTTTCCATCACATTCGTGGCCTTCCCCTTCTGCGTGAACCATCACTTGGCTCCATTTTCACAAGATGGCCTACCCAACGTCGATGTCCGAGAATAGATGGTATAGCTCATGGTTGATTCGATGGCGATAATCACCATCAACGCAGATTGGCCCATAGAACTTCCGTGCAATTTTTCTTCAAGCCTTATCTGCTTGCGGAAGTACCCATGCTTCAGATCCATACAACAGCACGGGTAATATCAGCATCTTGTAAAAGATGAGTTTGGTGTGGCGAGATGTGGCCTTGCTTTTTAATGTGCTTACTCAGACCATAGTACCATCTGTTGGCCAAACACTATTCTCCTCCGGATTTCAAAGCTGATGTTATTAGTTAGATTCTATGAAAACTATTCTTAAAAATCGAAAAGCTAATGGTTCTACGAAAAATATTATTAAATCTATCTTGAGAAGCTGATGGTTCATTGAAAAAAAATCTAAAAATCAAATCAAATGTTCATAGAAATTCTCTCTCACTCCGATTAAAATTGGATCGTTTCGAAAGGAACAAGTTCAAATGAACTATTCCCTAAACGACTGATGGGCACTAGTTCCGGTTCTTTCGTTCATCTTGTTTCATTTTTGTTTGTTTTTTTTTAACTAATGGTACTATCGAACTGAATGAATGACCTAGTTCCTCTTGCGAATCTTAACCACAAATTTCGAACATCATTAGGGACGAACTTGTCAACCTATATCTCTCTTTTATTCATAAAATATCTCCCTCTCTTCTTTACATAAAATATCTCTCTTCCAAACCTAACATAAGATACAAATTGAAAATATCATATGTTGCAAATACTTTTCAATGTGTGGTGCATACTTTTAGGCGTCACTCAAATTCTTAATTTAATATGTTGTTATATATATTATTTCTTCAACATACCTGTTTCGAGAATGCGACTCCAGTGCAATGGATTGCAACACACATACACTGGGTCGCGTTCGTTTGGACATACGGGTAAGCGTTTCAGCTGTGAGGAATTGTTTAAATCTCGCCACAAAAATAGGCGACATACTATCACATATGGCTCTTCGCCGAGTATTTCGGCACGACGCATTAATATGCAATTGGTTTGATATGTTGTCATGGAACTGCTGCTCGCGCTTCCCGACGACGAAGATGATCCGATCGACGGTTCGTGACGCGATTTCACAGCCTTTAATAGACAGGTTATTTGACGGGCCTTGAGTTGTTTCATTAAAGCATTGAAATACATTTCTGCCGTATAGTTCTCGGCGGGAAATTTTTTCGAGTTTTCGTAGGGTTTGTTGCAGGGTATGGCGGCATTGTTGTTGTTTGGAGAGTTGCTGGTTGCTTGATTCAGGGTGAAAGGATCGGTGGTGCTGGTGGCATTGGTCGTTGAGGTTACAATGGAATTGGTGGAACCAAAACCTCCGCCACAACAATTCCTGAGTATTTTTGCTGCGGTGGCAGCCAATGAGGTCGTTGCCGAGGTCAGGGTTGTTGCCGAATTCACAATCGTTGTGGCAACTGGATTCAGAGCTATGTTGGTTTTCGACCGCGTTCGCTGTGGCATGTTGACCGTGGTTCGTTCTAATCTCCGGGGTAATTCCTTCGTTAGGTGAAAGGTACTGGTGCTGTTGGTGGACGAAGAGGAGGAGGTGGTGGTCGCGTTGCTGCCTGAACTGGTCTCGTTCAATTTTTCGTAATCGTCGACGTGCATTATGTCGCCAGTATTTACGTAATTGTAACCACCTTGCCTCCGGCCGTAACCGCCCGTTTCGGATTCGGTCGCCGACAGCGAGGTTTCCGTTTCTCCATCCGTGACATAGGTTTGCGGCTGACGAAACATTTGACAATAATCGCGGGGATTCACACAGTCCATATCGCCCGCCATTGGCGTGTACGGCGGCGGCGGAGTGCTCAGTTGCGGACGCAGTGACATCGAACTGGAACTCTCGCCAGATACGTCGCAATAGAATGTCTGCCTCAATAGCGGATGTTGCTCCTGCAGCTGCTGCTGTTGTTCGTGACGGTGGTGTTGAGGTGGAAGGCGATGCGGCAGTGGTGGCTGTCTGGTCGTCCCACGTACAGGTGTTGTTAGGTTTTTTGACGCATAACGCCATAGTTCTTTCTTCTCGCTTTGAAATTTCATGGAGAGACATTAAATGTAGCGGTAACATCGATCTTATCCTATTTGCATTATTCGCCTTAACTAATTGGATTGGTTTGTATTTGGTATGGACGACGACGACGTTGGTGGTCGTGAGGTGGAGTCGTGTGGCGAGTTCCTTTAGTTCTTTCCGTTTGCCGAAAAACGTTTGTGTTCTTGGTTCTTTTTTTGTTGAATTTCAGACGTTAACAACCTTTTCACTTCAATGGTTGAACACTCAGTGAAAGGGGCAATTCCGCTTCCGCAAAAAACGAATACAAAAAACAAAATTTACTATCGCGTTGCTTTTTGTTTAGATTCCGAACGATTTACGAGAGTACGATTTCCACGAATTTTCTCACTCACTCTCTATTTTCTCTTTTTGCTAGAATTTTACGTCAGTACCGTAACGAGACGCGTTCAATTTTACGAATTCACACTTTATCGAAAAAAATAAATGAAAACAAACCAAAATGATTTTTTTGCACTTTGGTTTAAAAAGAGCGCGACGGACACGATCGTATCGATACACAATAATTAATATTCCTGTAAATGGTAGAAAAACAAAAAAAACAAAATAAGCAATGAGAAATAATTGAAAAAAGAAAAAAATGAAAATAAAAAATATATCTATTAAAAAGTATCCAACTGAAATATTAAGAATTATAGAAGGCAATTAGGACCTTGTACTATGGAAAGTACCATCAGCAAAAACCAATTTAAATATTTTATTGATAAGTATTGTGTGTTTGAGACTAGGCTAAGCTAGAGTAGTTTATGAAGTACCTAAAGAATGATATATGGCAATAAAATCAGTGCCTTACAACCACTCAACAAAAACGGTGGACCGTGTCTCATTTATTTCCCGTTCAGACGAGCTGCGACTATGTGGGACGCTGTAAGTATAGATGCCAAAGGCATATTTTCCTATTTTTTACATTTTTTGGTCCTTCGAAAAGTTGTGTTTTCACCCACCCATACTAAGAGACTCAGTGGAATCAGCGATGGAATATTTTTAACCAATTGACTTAGAATAAACCAATTTTGAGTGAGGAGCTCAAGACTGGTAAGAGATTTCATGTGCCACGGGGTTAACAGTTTTTTTTATTACTTACCAAAATAGGATGAAGAAGGAGCCATCTTTTTCAATAGAATCTTGGGAAAAAGACTTGATAAGAAGGAGTGAAAGCATAGGCGATTTAATCGAGATGCGCACGTTATATACGAGGGTAATTCGGAAAGTTCTTAGCCTAGCACAAAAAGCGCGATCTGTTATATTTTGTTTCGATCTGGCAACTCCTTCATATAGGAGCAGGTGTTCAAAAAAGACGCATCCGCAATTTTTTACAGTGAAAGCACGCATTTCTAATTTTTCCATTGTAAAAAATTGTGGATTCGTCTTTTTTGAACACCTGTTTCTATATGAAGGAGTTGCCACATCGAAACAAAATTTAACATGTGTACAAAGACGGATGTTTCCAAAACACTTAACTTTTTTCTGTTTATACCGCGGTTTTTGTGCGAACTGTCTTCGTATACATATTTAACGGAAAAATACCTTTCCTGCCAATAGGTCTACTAAAGCAATGGGTAAATATTATTAAAGAAACGTTGGAAGAACTGAAACAACTTTTATCCGGTATTAAGAACGAAGAAATAAATTCGGAAATGAAGCGGATTACTCAAAGGGGTGATACCATTATAAAGGAAGTGACACCGTGGAGGGAATTTATTTACAAAAGGCAAATATGGCGACCGTCCACTGGTGCTGGTCAGTAAAAGTTCAGAGGTAGGAAGACCACCGGAGAATGGTTCGAAAATCCGTGGCTTAGAACCACAAGTCTATGAAAAGCAAGAAAAAAGGACTCCTGCAGTTAAGCGTAGCAGAATCTATGGACCTGTATAAGTAAAAGGTAGGTGGCGGGACAGTTCTTGGAAAAATGGAACAATAATTAGATCTCCTGAATGAAGGAGTGGATAATGGTGATATTTTCCGCATGGATGAAACAACTTGCATCCGAGATTAAGGGCGAAGAAATTAATTCGGACCTGAAGCGGTTTACTCAAAGTGGTGAAACCATTATAAAGGAATTGGCTCTGTGGACGGAATTTATTTACAAAAGGCCAATATGTTGACAGTCCACTGGTGCTGGTCAGTAAAAGTTCAGAGGTAGGAAGACCACTGGAGAATGGTTCGAAGTCCAGAATTGATGAAAAACAGAAACCAAAAGAACTCCTGCAGTTACGCGAGCAGGATTAATGGATCATCTTAAGAAAAAGGAAGATATTGGGACGGTTCTTGGAAAACAGGAACAAGAATTAGATCTCCTAAATGAACAAACCAAACTCACACTCTACAAGACGCTGATATTACTCGTGCTGTTGTATGGATCTGAAATATGGGTACTTGCGCAAGCAGATTAGACAGCTCTTGGAGTGTTTGAGAGGAAAATTCTTTGGAAGATCTATGGGCCGATCTGCGTCAATGGTAAATATCGCCGTTGAATGAAGTATGAGCTATACCATCTATTCTTGGACATCGACTTTGTCAGACGGATCGAACTGCAGCGACTAAGTTTGATAGGCCATCTTGTGAGAATGGATGAATATGCCCCAGCTCAAAAGGCATTCAAAAGCGAGCCACGTCATGGTACGCAGAAGAGGAAGGCCACAAATCCGATAGAAAGATGGAGACCGACACGCCTGAAAAACCGGCTTATGGAACAACCGTTCTGTCATAAGTAAGTAATAATGAAGAAGAAAATGGTGATGTTTTCCCCCATGGATGTGGAAGCCAATGTTGAAGTGACATTTGTGATGAAAAAGGAATGCATTTCATTAACCCCGATGATAATTTACAGTGTGTTGTATTTAATCACTTCTCCAGGGTTTAGAAAACTAGTTAAGCTCTTTTATGTTGGAGGGATGTTGACGCGTCAACAGAAGAAGAAAGCCTCAAAGAAATCGAGGGTGTAAGTGGGCACATTGAAGATTCCATTATATTATATTCCATGTGCATCATCGCGGGAAGATACCTCTGGTTAATGAAGAGTGGAGGGATAAATTGCCTAAGAAAAACGTTGGCTGGATAATGAAGGCCGTAGCCGAAGGTTGGGGAACTTCTGATTAAGGCTCTATAGAAAATTGACTGTGACGAATTGTGGGTGTTGTTACTTAGAGACTGCTGCATCAATTTATTCATCCTTAATTATAGCTTTATCTCCCGAACTTACATTTTTTCTTGAGTTTCGTCACGTTTTTCAACCGAATTAGCTCTAATTTCTTCTATTGGGCGCTCATTGGATGATAAATCTTTGTCCCAAAAATTATAAAAATTGATTCATTTTTGGTATAGTTTTTGTGGGGTTTTGGACACTTTTATCAACCAAATTGCCTGTATATTGGCATTTTAGGGGCTCATTAGGTCTCAAATCATACCATCCGATTCTTGCTATACCTTTCGATTATTACTATTTTGGCGATTCTGGGCACATTTTTCAAGCGAAGGACTCCAATATTTTAAAATAAATTATTTTAGATCGAATATTTGAGAATATTTTTAAGTAATAATCAGATCACCGGATTTGAATTTTACGGCTATTTCTTGATTATTTTTCTGAATTCTACGAATGTGTATTTTGGAATCCAAATCACCATGCTAAATTCTCCAAAACTGAAATCTAAAAATCTCCCTCTGTCTCTTATCAGTTTTGTTGCCTCAGTTCTTGACATCATCCGTGATTGACTGAATATCAACTCTTTTTTCTTTTCGACGATAGCGATGACGATGATGATTACGATTACGACGTTGACAACAGCATGACATCAGGTAAAATAGCCGGTAAATATACCTATGAAGAGAAAAAATATGCAATACTGATGTTATCCAACCATCCATCCGACCATCCTTCCTGTAGGGTTACTTGCTGTGTGTGTGTGTGTTTTTATCTAGATCCGTTTTGGTGGTGTGGTGGTTCGACTAACACTGGCTTGCTGCCGATCTGCTTGCCTGCCGACTTGGCTAACATCAAGTCGGCCTTTTTGGCAGACAGTTTTAATGGTTTGTTGACGAGTTAACTGACTGCCAGACATTAATATTAATGATAATTCAACGAAGACGAAAAACACACACGAAAGACATAACAATTCTTGAGTAAGTTTTGAGGGACAGGGGAAACATCGTGAGGAGGAGGAAATAATTACAACAGCTAACAAATAAGTAATAATCGTAATATTTAATAGGGTGGTGGTATGTTTTTAACAGATAAAAAAAGTCCATACAAACGAGCATTATTTAAGAATATTTTAAAGGGATCATTACTGTCGAGAATTTTTAAATATTTGATGAAGAAGAAAATGGTGATGTTTTTCGCATGGATGTGGAAGCCAAAAAAAGGAATGCACTTCCCTAATCTCCGATGGTAATTTACAATGTGTTGTATTTAATCACTTCTTGAGGTTTTGAAAACCAGTTAAGCTCTTTCATTTTGGAGGGATGTTGACGCTGTAGTTAACGCGGAAACAAAAGAATAAAGCCTCAAAGAAGTCGAAGGTTTAAATAGACACATTGAAGATTCCATAAATTATGGATTGAAACATCAGTACAAGCAAGTTATATTTCATGTGCATCATCGCGGGAAGAAACCTCCGGTTATTGAAGAGTGGTGGGATAAATTGCCTAAGAAAAACGTTGGCTGGCTAATGAAGGCCGTAGCCGAAGGTGGCTAATCCCACAGATTAAATTATTTTTAAAGTGTCCATCGGGTAAAACATGTTGAATTTTTACGAGTATTTTTGAAGGCTCTCTAAGAGTAGATTTTGGTAGACTTTTCAATTTTGCCTCTGACCAAAAGCCCAATTTTTTGACTTTTCGATTTTTGCGATTGACTAAAAAGTAGACTTTTCGATCTTTCAATTTTGTCAAAAATATTCAAAATCGATTTTCGTTTTTTTTTTTCGACTAGTGCAAAATGATAATAAACCAAGTATTTATAAAGAAAATCGAATGTCGATCTTGAAAAGTCGAAGCCGAGCGCAAAAATCAACTTTTAGACTTTTCGATTTTTGCCTCGG